TTCTGAGGGCGCGAGGCGCTGGCAGCTGAGCCAAGGCAGCTGCACGTGCACCTGCCGGGATAAGGGGGTGAGAGGGGTGGTGATGGTGGTGGTGGTGGGGAGCAATGGATGTGGTGGGGGCGGCGGGGGTGCCTGACCGTGGCACGGAGGTGTCATCACCGGTGGGGCGTTGGGGAGGTAAGTGTGACATCAGCACATTCAATGCTGGGTGTACGCAATCATACGAGCTTGGCTCGACAAACAGCCATTCGTCTGCCTTGCAAGTGGCGTTCAGTGCCAACACCTTGAGAGGCCCCGACGCCATATATTTCCGCACACACCGATTCGCAGAGCCCTGACCACTTGGGCCCAACATCAACCCGGCACTGGCGCCCATCAATCCTCAAATCAACAAAGCGAGCCTTGCTCACTCGTGCGCCCGCACTTTCCTTTGCTGGCCCGCTGTGACGCTCGGCCCTCCGTGCCACTGCGTCGCATGCGGCTTGCCTGGCCTCCAAACCCAGGCAACCCAACCACACAGCCATCCAGCCATCCACTCATCTGCCCTGCCCATTGCCCAGCCCAGCCGCCCTGCCATACACTCAGCCACTCAACCACCCAGCCACCCAGCCGCCTACACAACCACTCAGCTATCCTGCCCGCTCCTTGGCCCGTCAGCCATCCTCCAGCCACCCACCGCCCTGTGGTGCAGGTTCCATTTGAGCGCCTTGTCGTGCGCCGCCCTCTCCGCAGCCTTGACCTCCTCAGCCACATCCACCACCAGGCCGCGGGGGGCGCACTCCTGCGTGATGTCATGATGACGATGACGGTGTCACGCCGCGGCAGGGGTTACGCAATGGGTGAGAGGGGTGAGTACAGGATAAGGATATGGCGGGGGTGATGCAAGAGACGGACGGCAACCACCAGGCCGCGCGGGATAGGGGAGGAGTTGTTTGGGGAAACCCGTTGTGGGATGCTGGAGTGTGGCAGGGTGGCGAACGAGAGGCCGAGCTTGGGTGAGATGCGCACAGGCGGGCGGGCAACCATGCGGGTGCGACGCGCCAGCCTGCGCGCAGCCAACCAGGCCGCCGCATCTCTTGACCAGCGCCCGCTGACCCTAGATCGATCAACAGGGGGCCAGCCAGGGGCTCGGCGGCCAGGAACCCTTGGCGGCCGGGCAGCAGAATCATGGACGCGTGTTCGAGGTTCCGAGGTTGCGCACCCACCTGTGCAATGAAGCGCGTCAGCTCCGCGGCATCGACCTGGTTCCACTCCAGCCGCAGCCACAGGGGCTTCAGCCCGGGCGGCCGCGCGACTGGGACCGCCCCCAGCACAGCCTTGGCGCCCTCGGTGCCGACCTGCAGGGTTGGGGCCGCGGCGGGGGGGGGCAGGGCGGAGTCTGCGAGGGCGGCCAAGGGGTGTGGCGAGCTGGATTCGGCAGGGGCGGAAGGGAGGGCCTGGAGGGTCGGAGGTTTGCTCTGCGAGTCTGCGGGTTCGAGAAACGTGCAGCCACCCAGTTTGAGGCGCATGGTTGCACCGCCAGGTGTGTTGTGTGGGTGTTGTGTTGTGTTGTGTTGTGGTGTGGGTGTGTATTATGTTGGAATGTATGCGTGCGTGTGCATGTGTGTGTGCGTGTGCGCGTGCCCATGGGCGTGCCTGCACAAGGGTGCGCGGCCGCACACCTGGTTGTGTGAGAGGTGGACCTCCGTCAGCCACGGCCCCACCAGCCGCGCCGCAGCCCTGGCCCCGGCGTCGCCAATCTGGTTATCGAACAGCCCTAGGTTTGGGGTCAGAGGGGGTTGGGGGAAGGGCATGGAGTGGCGGCACGATCGATGGGATGGGGAGGAGGAAATGCAGGGAGATGCAAACGATGATGGTGATGATGCCGGGCAGGGGCAGCTGGGGGGAGGTGCGAAAGGAGGAGGAGCAGGAGGAGGAGCAGGGGAAGAAGCACGGGGAGGAAAATGAGAGCGAGGGGGTGGAGCCCGCCGCACTGCCATGTGTCATGAGTAAGGGGGGAAAGGGGAATGCACAACCACCGACGGCCAACCCGGGGTCGAGGCCAGGCCAGGCAAGCAGCGACGCATGCGTCCAACCACCCGAGCACCCCACCACCCAAGCGCCCAACCCTGGTCTGACGCTCACACAGCTTGGCAACCTCGAGGCAGGCCGAAACCGAGGGATACCAGTCGGCCAAGATAGCCACCTGGCGGTGGCAGTGGAGGGCAGCAGCGGGGGGCCCCACAAGTTGGTTGTGCGTAACGGCGCGATCTAGGACCAAGGCTTGAGCAATGCTTGAAAGTGCTCAAAATGCTTCATTGTATGGACGTGTTTGAGCGTTTGTTTTTGATCGCGCTGGACAAAAGGCCGCTGCAGCCAGCCAGGGGCCCCTGCAAATGGGCGGCAGGACCCCCAGGGCCAACCTCGGACTGGGCGCCGCGCACCTCGGAATCCGTGAGGCCCATCTTCTCCAGCCTGAAGCTGAGCAGCACCTTTGACCCCCGGCTCAGCGGCGGCCCCGCCGCCGCAACGGCGGCCGCGGCCGCGCCACTTGCAATCGCCGGGGTGCTCGGCCCCGGGGACTCCCCCGGCCGCGCGCGCCGGCGCGCGCCGCCATGCCCCGGCTCCCCCATCAGCTTCTCCTCAGCTTCCGCCAGGGCCGCCTCCTCCTCGTCGCTCCCGCTGCCGCTGCTGCCGCCGCTGTTGCTGCCGTCGCCGCCGTCGCTGCCGTCGCTGCTGCCGCTGCCGAACGCCGCAAACGCCGCGGCATCATCCGCCTCCCACGCCCCCTGCTCGTCCCGCTCGTCTGGGCTGCCGGTGCCACCGCCCCCCTCCCCAATGCCTTGCTGCTCTTCCAACTCGACGCCTGCCTGCTCCCCCTCCTGCTCCTCCTCCTGCTGGCCCCTGCCCTCCTGTCCCTCCTCCCGCGCAGCCTGTTGCTCCCGCTGCTCCAGCTCCCCCGCCTGCTGCTCCCCGTGCTCCTCCTGCTGCTGCTGCTCCTGCTGCTGCTGCTGCTGGCGCCGCAGGAATGATGTCATGTCATACGCGTCGTCCTCGCTCACCTCGCTGCCGGCATCACCGCTCGCCCCCTCTGCATGCTCGCGAGGCGACGCAGCCGGCGGCGGCGCCGGCGGTGCCTGCGGCGGCGGCGGCGGCATGCGACCGGCAGCAGGCGTGCGCGGCGCGGCAGCTGCGGCCGCGGCTGCCGCCGACATGCGCTGGGCCCAGCTGGCGACCGCTCGCAGCCAGTCGCTGCTGAACCGCTGCCCTGCGTGCACTTTGACCTGGGGTTGTGGCGCAGGTCGCGATGCGTTTGATTGTGCTATTGCCGATGCATTTGATTGTGCTATCGCAATCGCTTCAAGCCCGGCTCGGCTGTGTTGGGTGCGCGTTCAGCACCGCAAGCGCAGCTGTGTGCAGGCACGTGCGCCGAGAGCACGCACGCCTGGCATCGTGCTGAACGGCGTGCATACAGCCGCTGGCCGCTGTGTCAGCGCTGGCTTTGGTGGTCGCGGGGGTCACGCTGACCCCCGCGTGCAATGAGGCCTGGTTGCCCGAGGTACGGGCGGTTGCAGCAGCAGCAGCAGCAGCAGCAGCAGCAGCAGCAGCAGCAGCAGCAGCAGCAGCAGCAGCAGCAGCAGCAGCAGCAGCAGAGGTTGACGCTTTGTACCGGCGCGCACCTCCCACACGGCGAGCGATTTCAGATCAGGCTGTACCACGAGCAGGCGCGACTCCTCCAGCGTCAGAGGCACAAAGGGGCCAGCCCGCCGAGCGGGCTGCGCGCCGCGGGCATGGGCAGCCGCGGGGCTGCCTGCCGCACCACGGGCGGCGACATTGCGCCCGCCGCCGCGGCCGCGCCCGCCGGGGCTGCCTCGGGCGCCTCCCCGGGCTGGCCCTGAATAGCCACTCCGTCCCCTGGCGCCACGGCCGCCGAAGGGATCGATGGAACCGTACCCTGGTGATGACGCCGCATGTGTGCCGCGCCCACCCCTGCCGCGTGCTCCACCGCCCCTCATTTCAAGGCCTAATTGTGCGCACGGGTAGCGATACGCTGCAAAATCACCGTTGCAATTTCGAGAGGCTTCTGTGTAAAGGTGGAGCGGTGCGATCCGACGCAGATCGCAACCGGGTTGCAACGATCTACCGAACTCCCTTGATGGCCTCCTGCACCGATTCGCACGGTTTCTCTGGGCAATTGCGTCAGTCGGCCTTTCACCATCTTCCCGATGAAACAAAAGGAAGGCAGCTGCAGCACACCCAACACACTCCCCTCAACCTTAGCCTGGATAGCTGTGGATCGCCTCACCACGTGATTTAGGGCTTTTAGAAGAAACATCGGCCTGCGGACAGCCCGCGCGGGCGCTGGAGGCGCGCAACAGTCCCTCGTGTTGCATTCGAATCAGGGCCCATCCAAAGCCCCTCGTGAGGTGCGCTTTAGGCAGTGGTTCAGAACAGGACAGTTTGTTTGCACTCGGCTTATCCGCTTCATGCCGTGCGTTCCGCCCGGCAGGCGCTCTAGCGCTTCTGGTGGCACCGAGCTCGCGCGCCGCAGCGCCGCTGCTCGCCTCCGAGCGGCGCCCGCCGCGCCCTGCCTCCGCAGGGCCGCCTCGCAGCAGCTGGGGCCGCGATGATGAAGCTGAAGCAGCGCTTCAACGCCACGCGGTTCGACTTCCAGCTGCACGTGCACACGCTGCAGCCGTGGCCGTCCGGCAACAAGGCCATCGCGATCGGCTGGCAGCGCGGCAAGCGGCGGCGCGGCGCGACGAACTCGATCATGCCAGTGCCCAGCTCCGAGCGCGGCGGCAGCACCGTGGTGCGCTTCAACGAGCGCATCAACTTCAAGTCGACGCTGTACAAGGTGCGCAGCTGCCGCCGCCAACCAGACACGCGTATCACACACAATCGCAGCCAGCGCCTACACATCATGACGTCAGCAGGACAAGCGCGCCCGCCACCGCCGCTGCTCCTGCCGCCGCCGCGACCCCTGAGCGCCCCCCGCGCGACCCTGTCCCCCCACTCGACACAACCTCGCGCAGACGCCCGGCGCGGCCGAGCGCGGCGGGCAGCTTGGGCCGTTCAAGCGCAAGTGCGTGATCCTGGCCATCCTAGAGACCGACGGCCGCACGCACGCGACGGCCGCGCTGGGGCGCGTGGTCATAGACCTGTCTGAATTCGCGTCCATCGACGGCCAGGAGCTGCGGACGTTCACGGTGGCATGCAATAAGGCGATCCAAGCGGCAGTCGGGGAGCCGCAGCTGACCATCACACTCCGGTGAGCCACGCCCGCGCGCGCGCAACACACTGCGGGGCCCCAACCGCCGCCCGGCTGCGTCGTCGCCTGGACGCGTCGCTGAGCGGCCGCCGCGGCCGCAGTGGCGCGGCGCGCGGGTGCATGCAAGGGCGCTCGTGGGCTTTGGCGTGGCTGGCCATGACGCCCCTCCTGCCATGCCGCCCGCGTGCCCCCCCAGCTGCCGCTGGAAGAAGGCGGGCGCTGACTTCACTGAGGATGAGGCGGCCTCGATGTCTACTGACCAGTCGGGCTCCAGCCTGGGCGGGAACATAAAGTGGGTGGCGGGGTCGCGCTGAATGGGCGCTGAATCGGGCGCTGAATTGGGCGCTGAATCAGCCGCTAAATCGGGCGCTGAAAAGGGCGCCGAATCGGCCGCAAAATTGGGCGCTGAATCAGGCGCTGAATTGGGCACTGAATCGGGCGCTGAATCGGGTGGTGGCGCAACAGGGTCCCCACCACGGGCGCGCTACTAGGGCCCCAGTGGGTCGCAGTTTTGGGAGGCGGCGCGACGGGCTCGTCGGCGCCGTTTGTTGGCAGGCGTCAGCGG